CAGCAAGGCTGTAACAAGGCAGGGACCAGAACCCAAATGACCTGTTCCCCGTCCTGTACTCCTCCTCCTCAGACTCTGCCCCCCCCCCCAAAATTTTAAGAATAAAATAAAAGGACATCAGTGTCACCATACAGGCAAGCCATCGGGCAGATAGACAATAAAAATTTCCAAGGCGGGGCACCTGGGTGGCTCATGGGGTTAAAGCCTCTGCCTTCAGCTCAGGTCATGATCTGGGGGTCCTGCGATCAAGCCCCGCATTGGGCTCTCTGCTCAGCAGGGAGCCTGCTTCCCTTCCTAAAAAATAAATAAAATCTTTAAAAAAAAAATTCCAAGGCACACAGAATCCCAAGTTTCAACATGTAGGTTTTTTTCCCCCTTTGGTCTCAAAATGTTGTTACAGCCAAGGCTCCCCCTCTCCAGACAGTTCCATCTGAGGGTCCAAACCCAAGGACGCACCATCCAAGGCTGGAGACATAGAAGGTTCTCCAAGGAACTGCTTTTTTGCTGCCCTTCAGAAGAAACATCCAGTGCTGGCTCAGGCCCCCCCAGGGCCTCTCCCCTCTGGATAACTTGTGTCAACAGGGCTGCTGGTAAACCGGTGGGGCTGGAGAGGTCCCAACGCCTGGGGGCTCTGTCCAGGTTCCTGGACCCTCCCTGTAGCTCTCTTGTCCTCCCTCTCTTCCTTTTTTCTTTCCTTCCTCCCTCCCTCTACCTGTTCACCAATATGCACATTCACTCAGCGAACATCCTATGGCAGGTTGCTTGGGGTGTTGGGGGGGACTGCTGTGGGGACAAGGATCTGCGAGGGCCACCATGGAACATTCTAGACCTTTCGGGTCTTCCAGAGCTGCATTTATGGAGCCCTTCGCATGCATCGGGCTCTGTTCTAAGTGCACTGTGTTATTAACTCACTTAATCCTTACAACAACACCATGAGGGCAAAAGGAGGTACTATTCTTACCCCCATTTTGCAGATGAGAAGACGAAGGCCACACAGCTAGAACACCAGCAAGCAAGGATTTGAATCAGGAGGACTTTGGCTCCCACAAGGTCAGTCTTCTCACTGATTTTAAAGCGTGAGCACGCCTAGTATCACACAAACTCTCAGCGATCCTGTAAAACAGGAACGACCGAGATTGTGAGTTCTGTGTCACATGGGAGGACAGAGCTGAACGGGGAGTTCGGGTGGGGGCACTGGAACCCTGGGCACTCACCTCTGCCTCCTGCTGTCTCAGGACCACTGTTGTACTGGGAGGGTACGGTTTAGGGGGGAGGCGGTTGGGTTGTTGATTAAACTTAGCTCAGTCCCAGCGCGTCAGGGCCGGGCCACTGCGACAGCCCCGGGACATCCCCTTGGCGGCCTTGCTCAGAGACAGTTTCCACCACTACGGTAAGACACACTTGACGACGCTCCCATCACAGGGCTGGGGGGGCGGGGGGTGGGTGGTGAAGGGCTGTGGGAAAGCAAGGCCGGAAGTGCTGAGTGGGGAGAGAGATGGAGGTTGGGGGAGGGGTACCCAGTCTACAATTCCTGGAAGCCAGAACGCAGAGGGAGGGAGGAGCTGGTGGGAGACCCATCACCTTCCTCTGAGCACCCGGCCTCATGCCACGCACTGGCCACAGAATCCTTAGCTTGGAGGACACCGATAAGTCATACCCTTCTCTGAGGAGCCCGGACCTTTACCGGAAATACCCTGCCTGGGAGGGTTCTGAAGGGATCTCCTGAACTGGGGAGGGAGAGGGGGCGTGTTACACGGGGCTTTAGCCAGAGAGGCTCGTGACACTTATTTGGGATATATTTGCCCCAAGAGGTGGAAGGATTAGAGGGGTAGGGGGCAAGGGACAGGTGGACCCAGGAGGAGACTGAACAGGGCTCCAAGCTCAAGGCCATGCTGCTGGGTCACAAGGGTGGGGAAGGTTTCAACTACAGTTGCGATCACGGCAAGCGAGCTGCTGTGTTCATCTTTGAACTGGTTGCCGGAAAGCTCAGGATGGAATTTTGCTTATTTTTTCTCCATTCATGTAATTGTCTCCTGTGCAGCCCTGGTGTACGCAGCGGGCCAAAAGCTCTGTGGCCAGATACACGGGAGTTTGAATCCCAGTTCTAGCAACCATCAGCTGCATTTTTAAATTTCCCTGTGCCTCAGTTTCCTAATCTGCAAAATGGGGAAACATGACAGCTGCCTGGCTGGGTCCTTTCAGGTGATAAGGATAACGCTGGGGAAGTAGCTGGCCCAGTGTCTAAATTCATTTCTTGATCTTTTTTGAAGTCATCTAGGGTGCTACTCGTTAAGAGAGATGGAATAGGGCTATTCACCCAAGGAAGGACGGTTTCCACCGTAAATTGCTCAGTGACTGTGGAGCTGGAAGGTGGGAGGAGAGAGCGGGTATACCAGATGACTGGGGAGATGATGAAACTAATAGAGTCCGAACAAATAACCCAGTCAAGAAGAAAATATAATTTTTTTAAATGGAAAGATAAGTGTGTCTGGGTGGCTCAGTCGGTTAAGCAGCTGCCTTCAGCTGGGGTCATTATCCCAGTGTCCTGGGATCAAGGCCACAGCCGGCTCCCTGCTTGGCGAGAAGTCTGCATCTCCCTCTCCCACTTCCACTCCCCCTGCTTGTGTTCCCTCTCTCGCTATGTCTCTCTCTATATCAAATAAATAAATAAAATCTTTAAAAAAAAAAGTGGGCAGAAGACATGAACAGACATTTCTCCAAAGAAGACACACAAATGGCCAACAGACACACGAAAAAATGTTCAACATCACTAAGCGTTAAGGAATCATCAATCAAAACCACAATGAGATCCCACCTCACGCTGGTCAGAATGGCTGAAATTAGTAATAGACGTTTGCAAAATAATAGATGTTGGAGAGGATGGGGAGAAAGGGGAACCTCTTACACTGCTGGTGGGAATGCAAGCTGGTGCAGCCTCTAAAAATAGAGCTCACCTATGACCCAGCAATCGCACTACCGGGTATTTACCCAAAGGATACAAACACAGTGATCCGAAGGGGCACGTGCACCCCAATGTTTATAGCAGCCTGTCTACAATAGCCAAACTATGGAAGGAGCCTGGATGTCCATCAAAAGATGAACGGATAAGGAAGATGTGGTATATGTGTTATATGGTGGACTATTACTCAGCCATTAGAAAAAAAATGAAATCTTGCCATTTGCAACAACGTGGATGGAACTGGAGGGCATTATTCTTAGCGAAATAAGTCAGTCAGAGAAAGAAAAACACCCTATGATTTCACTCTTATGTAGAATTTAAGAAACAAAACAGATGAATGTAGGGGAAAGGAAGGAAAAATAAAATAAGACGAAAACAAGGAGACAAACCATAAGAGATTCTTAACTAGGGGAAACCAACTGAGGGTTGCTGGAGGGGAGGGGGCGGAGGGATGTGGTAATGGGTGATGGGCATTAAGGAGGGCACATGATGTCATGAGCACTGGGTGCTCTGTGCAACTGATGAATCACCAAATGCTATCCTGAAACTAGTAATACACTATATATTAATTAAAATTAACTTAAATAAAAAATTTTTTTAAAAAAGAAATTGGAGACCTGAGAGGCTGGAAAGCCTGGCCACCTCTCCCTCCTTTTCTCTTATCTCTCCTAAGTCTGCCCCAGCTGCCTCCTGCTTCCCACTCTGCATCTGACAGATCTTCCCTGCCCTTGGCTGCCTGGTCCCCAGCTGGTGCTGCTCCCCTCCCTGCAATCTGACCCAGGCAGGACTGTCTCCGCTTCACCCTTTCTGCCCCTCCCAGCTGCTCCTTCTTTGCCCCATCTCCCAAGGCACAAACTCCATCCCACCCTGGACATGTCACACTGTAGCTTCCAGCCCATCAGTCCGCCTGGTGTAAGGTAGCCCCTCATTCTGCTCACCACCAGCTCGAGTCTCTCGTCACACCTGGTGGGGACAGCTGGGTTTCCTGGGCGCAGCGGCTCATAAGACCCCTCTCAGCTTTCCAGCCTCTTAACACTTCAGCTTCAGTTTTCCCTGCCTGGAAAATCAGTCTGGGAAGATAAGACCTTCCGTTGTGGAAGGAACCCGAGGGATGATCTGGTCCAGATAGGTCACCAGGTGCCAGCTAGGATCAATTGGGACCTGCCTGCAGAGTCTCAAACTGTCCTCAAACTTTGCAGGAAGGACAGCCGTGATTAATTAGCAATGTCTGCCATGAGTGGGTGAAATTGATTAGTGATGTCTGCTACGGTGCGGCTTTATGAATGCCCAATATTGCCATCCATAATCTGGTCCAACTATTCAGAGTCAAAGGCAAAGAAGAAAAAAATTTTATATATATATATATATATATATATATATATATATATATATATTTATATATACACACACACATATGTATTTATATGCATATAAATATGTATTTATACATATACATATTATATACATATACATATTATATGTATTTATACATATTTATATGCATGTAAATATATTTATATGCACACATATATAATTTGTATAACATATATTTATATTCTATTTACATATAGTAAAAATTCTATATATTCTATTTGGTTTATATTTATTGTGTATTCTGTTTATAGTATGTTGATTTATATTCTATTAAATATATATATTATATTTTTATGATATTTTACTTGTATTTTCCCATGAGACCATATCAGATGGTGCCCAGACACAGAATAAGATAAACCTGACTCCTATTAGTGAAAAAGATATCCCTTTTACAATCTTTTTGCTTTCTCACCATTTGTGGCTGGCTGGCATGTCTTCAACAGTTTCCCAACACTTGTTAACCTCCCCTTTAACCTAAGAGAGCAGACTTACAGCAGGCAAAGAATTGAGGCTTTTTATTTTATTGTATTTACTTTTTACAGTCACCTTTTATTTATAGTGAATATCAGCTTTTCCGTTTACAGAAGCAATACAAAGATTTTTCTTTTTAAATAAAAGTGAACAAAAAAGTGAAGGATTTGAAGAAAAATAATGAGGTAAACAATAACAGAGATGGCACACACAAGTCATTGAACATCCGTATGGCACAAATGCCCAAGGCTTAAGAACCAGAACTGTCCCAAGAACTCTTCCAAGTGGAAACTGACTCACAGAGGGGTTTCATGGTTTGCGCGGGGACACAGAGCGAGGGTCTGGTCACGGAGCTTGGGTTTGATGCTCAGGCCAGGACTGAGGAACCTCGTGGCCCAGAACACGTGGCATCGTACGTCAGGAGTGACCAAGTGCTCAAGCTCTTCCGTGGTAAGGATCCAAGACTCAGACAACCTCAGGAAAAGGGAGTTTATTTCGGACTTAAGGAAAATGAGACTCTTGAGCGAACCGTCGGTAGCCCTCTGTCAATGGGAGTCTCTGTAGCAGAACCCAGTGCCCTCTGCTAACCGGGCTGAACTCCTCCACCCCAGGCTTCTCCAAGAGCCTTCTGCACAGGCACCTGCTCCCAGGGACCTACCTTCTTAAGACCCTGAGTTGAAATGCTCAAGACTGAGAGAAATCTGATTGGCCAGTTCAGGCCGGGCCTCCCTGACTGGGCGGAGCTTCTGTTCTAAGCCAGCTCATAGGCAGCAAGCTTGTCGGCCTATGGGTGGGCTTGTGTCAGGCACCCAATCAGCTAGGAGCAGGGCCTATAAGTGCTGGCTCAGTGCACTCACATATCAGGGACCTGGGAAGGAGTCCTTTGCTCCTTGGGGTTGCTCCTGTGAGAGGAAGGTTGTGGCAGGCATCACAGGTGTGATCTGTGCCAGGGACAGAAGGAAGAGAAGTGGAGAGGTGATGGGGAGAACCGAGGAGGAAGGGGTCAGCTGTGTGAGTCTGTGTTTGTGCTTTGGGGTGTGAGTCTGTGTTTGTGCTGCGGGGAGGACTGCGGTGAAAGGGGACGAGGCTCTTGCTGGAATGGGCATGCTGGAGCCTAGTGAGCCTGGGGCTTCGCCTCTCTGAGTCTTAACCTCAGAAGAGGACGATGGCCCCTGTGTGAAGGCAGCCGGGCACAGGGAGTCCAAGCAAGGTGGTCCCAGATAGTTCACTACAGGGAATAGGATAGGGGTGCCAAGCAAGTTGCCCGTCTGGACGCAGCGTGCCAGCCCCCTCAGTTGTGGAAGAGATCTCTCCAAGAGAGGTCTAGACTCCCTGTGACAGCCTCAGAACCAGCCACTAGGAGAGGTTTACTTCCTAGCAGCATGATTTATGAATCCATGAAACCACGATGGAAAGATCCAGCCAGTGTCTGCTTTCCTGGGGGATTCGCGTCACAAATTGGGCCACAGTGGCAAGGACACAGTAGCTAAGCATTCTGAGGTCACAAGAGATCCCAAGGGCGAAGTGACTGGGCCACTTTGTCTAGCCACCCCATGACACGGAAGCTTGAAGTCCGGGAGCATTAATGGATGCAGAGTTTCTCTCCAAAGGAAGCAGAAAGGACCCTTGAGGGATAAGGGGATTGGTCACCTGGATGAGGGAGGAGAGAGCACCGCAGGTACAGGGAACAGCATGTGCAAATGTGTGGGGCGTGAGGGAGCTGCTGGTGGCTCAGTAGGACCACTGGGAGGGTTCTAGGAGGTAATGTCCCAACATGACAGCCAGGCCAAGAAGTGGTGCGGAGGGCAGCGGGGAGCCATGGTGGGCTTTAAGCTAGGGCAGCAGAGCCATATGGTTTGTGGTTCGGAGAGAGCGCTCTGGCTGCCCTGTGGAGGATGGGCAGGAGGGGGTGGGACTGGGGCAGGAAGCCCAGTGAGGGGGACACGGTGAAGATCGCTGGAGAACCCCGAGAACTCTCCCTGAAGAGTCCTTGCAGGGCTCCAGAGGAGGGATGCTTTAAAGGCAAAAGCCATGGGACTCCGTGACAGCTGAGGGGAGTCACAGTGTCCCCACCCACTGTAATTCCTGGCTTGGGCCACAGAACCGGGGAGCAGCAGTTGCCATTTGGAAATGAATGCCCGAGGGGGCAAGGCTGGGTGGGGGCCCTCAGGGCAGGGATGTCCAGGGGGCAGCTAGGCACTGGGTGACTCAGCAGCGGACAAGCCTTGAGGACAGAGTCCTCACCTGGGCCTGGCACAACAGTGGGCAGCAGCCTGCCTTGTCTGTCTACACCAAGTGAGCCGGGTCCTGCTCCTGCAGCTCTTGGAGAGACACATAGGCATCGGTGTTCAGGGTCAGGCAGGAGGCAGGGGTTCCAACCTGGCCATACCCGGGGGGTCTAGCCCAGGGGAAGCCGATCCCCTCCGTGGGGCCAGGGGCCGGGACCTCCTCTCTTGCTTCTCCCAGGGCGCGCTCCAGCGGTGGCTGGCTGTCCCCCGGGTCAGACACTCCTGGGTTGGGAGGCACCAGGGCCTGGGGGGCCCAGTCTCGGGGAGCTCCCTCCCACAGAGAGGGGGGCAGCTTCTCTTCACAGGCTCCACTGCCCCCGGCCATGGTGTTGGGGGGGACGGGGCCACCCAGGAGCCCGGGAGAGAAGAGAAGCAGGTCATCCCCAGGGGGGAAGGTGCAGTAGGCATCGTCTTCTGCTGGCAGGGGTGGCGAGGAGAGGGGCGGCAGGGGCGGCAGGGGTGGGAGGAGAGACCCCTCAGGCGCCCCAGCCCCGCCCTCCTCGGACTCTTCTGTGCAGGGGTCATAGCTGAAGTACACCTGGCAGGCCTCGATCTCCAGAGCGTCAGGGAGGTGGAAGAAGAAGTAACCTTGGTTGGTAAAGCAGCTGGTCAGCGAGTGGCCGCTGGTCTCGGCCGAGGGTGAGGGCCCCTTCTGCTGCAGCAGGAGCAGCTGTGTGGCCTTGGTGTCCCGGTCCAGCACCTCCAGCGGGGAGATCTCGGGTGCCTGGGTATTGGGACTGAAGGATGACGAGGGGAAGGGCGAGGAGAGCCACTTCTGCCAGGAGAGAGAACAGATGGAAGGTGAGTAGGATGCCTCCTCCTCCAGAATCTCAGCAACAACTCCTCATTATGGTCTACTCAGGGCTTCCACCTCCAGGAAGGCCTCCCTGACTACACCCCCCCCCCACACACACACACAACACACACCGATTTGCAGAATGCTCTGGGTCAGCCTGGGGAGGGTGATTCCTGTAGGTGCCCACACCCAGCCCAGAGGGGATGTGTTGTTTCAATGAGGGACTGTTTATGGTGCTGTGAGCCTGGCACCACACGAGGCACCAGGCAAAGGGGAAAAGCCTCAGTGCCTCAGGTAGGGGCTAGCCAAGTGTGTGAGTCCACAAACCAGGGTCAAAGCTGAAAGGGCCCCGAATGGAGCCCATCTTGTCCACCTTACAGATGCCCAGAGAGGGGCCGTCCCCTAGCCCTGAACACACAGCCGGCTCTCTGACAAAATCTCTGGTGGGCGCGGATGGTCCTGACATTCTCTGCCCGCCCCCCAATGATATGCAGCCCCCTCCTGCCACACTGTCCCTCCACAGAGAGAAGAAAGTACCCGCCAGAGCCCTTCCCAGTAGCTCCAGAGTCCGGAGAGCCCTGGTCCTCACTGACTGTGTGACCCTGGGCGGGTTACTGCCCCTCTCTGAGCCTCAATCCCGCAACACTTAGCCCCCTCTTTCCTAACTTCCTTATTGTGAGCAGGAGAATGTCAAAATAAGAAACTGAAGGCGGAACTCCCTGGCCCAGGGTAAAAGGCAGACCACCCACAGAAGCAAAAGGGACAGTAGGCCCTCAGGGGGTGTGATGGGGACCCAACAGCCCTCTGTCCTGGGAGCCCTCAGCAGCTGGACTGGCGTCCCTTGAGCACACGGACCAGGCCCATTGGGCTCCTCCTACACTTCTGCGCCCAGTAGGCTGGGAAGAGAGGGAGAGAGCAGGTTCCGGGGAGTGGAGTCGGGAGGGGGGTCCAGCCCTGGAGGAGGCAAGGGAGGAGGGGAAGGGCTGTGCAACCAGATGGAGAGGCCGGGGCTGTGACCAGCCCTGCCTGGTGTGCCGGCCCCTTTCAGAGGGTCAGCTACTTCCTGGGCCTGGGCTTCCATCCTCAGTGCCCTGAAGTTGGGGGGACGGGGCAGGGAGGCAGGTGCAAGGAGGAACACATCCCCCTTCACACACACACACTCACACACTGGCACGCATATCCCCGGGTCCCCTGGACAGAGCAGTGGGCCTTGTGGCCTGGTAGCTAGAGGTCCTGGCGTAGGGAGATAGGAGCAGACCTCCCACCCAGATGCAGAGGAGAGGTTAGGGCCCCCTTGACCCGCCCCAACCCTCACCACATTGCGCATCCCACAGCTTCCTTGGGATCTACCTTCCACACCCCAGGTCTGGAGCAAGCATCTAGACCTGGGGATGACCACGTGGGAAGACAGAGTGGTTGGTACCTCTCTAGGATGGAGCCCACTCCCAGCTCAAAAGGTCCTAGTCCCATAGAATCAGAAAGATTTCACCCGGGAAGAGGACTAAGGATGCATCCAGTCCAGCCTCCAACCAGGTGTACCTTCTGCTATATTTCTGACATACAGTCAGCCAAGACTTGCTAGAATGCCTCTGTTGACAGGGAGCTCACTATCTTTAGGGCTTTAGGAAGAATTTTAAGGAGGTCCATTCCCCCACATCGAGAGAACTGTAGGCAAGCTATCTCCAAATCTTGGGAGTTTTCCAAAGAATTCCAGAATGGGCCCTGATCAGCTGTAATAGGGAATTCCAAAGCCAACTCTTGACATCTCTGGCCCAGTATGGCTTTCCAGCCCTTCCGCACTCCTGCTGATCTCCCTCCACCCCGACCTCATCCTCCGTCAAATCCAGAGAGCTTAGGGAGGGGGGAGTGAGAGAAGCAGCCCACCACAGCCCCTTTCTGCCACAACACTTCCTTCCTGAAGCAAGCGTGGGCTCCAGGAGGGGAGACGACTGAGGTTTAAATGGGGTTCAGTGTTACTACTATCTGGGCCAGCACCTTCCCAGTGACTCTGCTTCGATTGATGAGAAGCAGCTCAAAGAATTGTTACCATGAGGGATAAGGTGTTGGAGCCTGCCCAGCGCTTCCTGCAGAGGGTGAGGAACCGCTGCCCATTAAGAGAGTCGGCACAAGTTGTGTGTGTGGGGGGGTGGCAGAGCAGAGAAGGGGCAGGTCCTGTTCAGTCAACAGACCGGTGACCGAAATTCTAGCTAGGGCCCCTTGAGCACTTACTACATGCCAGCCAGTGATCTTGGGCCCATCCATGTAAGTAACGCTTACGTAAGTTTCCCTCCCTGTTGTACAAGTGGGAAAGCTGAGCACAAGAGACATTCCGTAACGCGCCCGAGGTCACACAGCCAGGAAGGGCTGGAGCCGGGATTAGAACCAGATTGTCTGGCTCGGACAGGAGGTGCCATTCAGCCTGAGAATGCTGGTGCCCAAGCTGGGGAAAGGGACCCACACCCAGCCCAGAGGCTGCTCGCTTCAGTATTTGTCTCCTTTCGCAAAGTGCAAACCCACCACCTCCCCACCCACTCACACCTCTGGCCGCCCCCATGCCAGCCCAAGCCAGATGCCTGCTTCTCTCCGCCAGCTCCAGACTCCTACCTGGAAATCTCCTCCATGCTCTGACTTCAGCTGGGAAAAGAACTCCGACGGGTCTGGGATGTGGCACTTCAGAACCTTCTTCAGCCTGAACAGGGGAAGAGGAGGGAGGGAATGAGGATGAGAAGGGAAAGGGGCCATGGTGTCCCGCTGGCACCCCACTGCCCTGAAGGGAGGGTACAGAGCCATTCCGCATTCATCTGTTGGATCAGTACAAAGTGACTGTCCAGTAAGGGAGGGTGGGGGCCTAGGGACACAAGAATGGCAGACAGAGAAGGTCTCTTTCTGACATTCTGATGGGGAGACAGACACGAACCAAGTGTGCAACATGACCATTCATTCTGTGGACACAAAGCAGAGGTCTGTGCAAAAGAAGGATGTGGGGGTGGGGGACCACAGGAGCCCAAGTGGTCAGGGACTGCACAGAGCCAAATGTTTGGAGTAGAGAGAACAAGGAGCAGGAGGTAGGAAAGAGACCAGATTGTGTGTCTCCATGTCCAGACTATCAAGAATGGTCGTTCAGGTTGTGCACTGCCCAAGGGCTCCCGGTTTTAGGGGGGTACTGAGTGGGTGCTGAATTCCAGCCCATGCTCTGCTTGCCACATTGAGTGCCCCAGTATCTGTGTGCATCAGCCTCAAAAATGTGGTCATAGCCTCAAGGACCCAGAAAGCCTGGCTGCTTTAGATGCTGGTTAGATGTTCAGGCTCAGGTCAGCCCTCTCTTCCACCCCTTCTGGTCTCCAGCCACACTTGCTTCCCTGAACTCTCAGTTGCTGTAATGCTGCTTTGCATTACACATGTAGGGCCTTTGCACACCCTATTTCCTCTGTTTGCCTATGCACTCCCCATCCCCTCCCCATGCCTGGTTAGCTCCTCCTTCAGATTTCAAGGGAATCATCACTTCCTTAGGCATGTTTCTGCTGGCCATCCCCCAGCCAAGTTTCCTCTCCCTGTGGCCTGCTTCCAGTCCATCGAGTACCTTCCTTTACCCTTTTATCATGGTGTGTCATCGTACTTGCGTATGATTTATAAACATCTGCCTTCTTCCATGCGACCATGAGCTCAATGAAGCCGGGACTGCAAGTATGTAGCCTTCCCTTGTATTCCCAGCACTCAGTACCAGTCCTGGCACTGAGCTGGGGCTTGACAAAGGGATCTAGAGAGATCCCTGAGGACACATACACATAGAGACAGCAGGCATTTGCACACACGCATACACACACATGTGCACACACATACTCAGAGTCATGCTCTGGGCGGGGTCTCCGTGGGGCTCTCCCTCCCCGGCTCCCCTCAGGCTGGTTCCCTGGGGTTCCGTCTTTGGGGGTTGGTGCCAGGGAAAAGCTAGGTATCAGGCAGGGAGGACTGTGGGGAGGGCAGAGGGAGCACAGGTGTGTCTGAGCAGGAGTCTGAGCTGAGGGCCTGAGCAGTCAGGGGGTGTGTGTCAGATGAGAGCACGAAGGAGCGGGAAAGGAGGGCTCTTACCACAGTCGGATGTACTGACATTTGGCCAAAAAGTAGACCAAGATGAGAAAGCCGAAGGCACTGCTAATGCCCACGACGACATGGCCAAACCGAGGAAAGGTCAGAGTCCGCTTCCCTGAGGCCACCCAGGGGTGGGAGGAGAAGCGGGGAGAGAGGTTAGAGAAGCGCCCCTGCTCGCCCAGATCCCTCTAGCATCCCCCACCCCCTGCAGCCACCCTGGTGCCTAGGGACAGGCTGGCCTCTGACCCAAGGCCTTGGCAGGTCCCGGCTGGCCCAGGAGACCTGCCGTGGGCCCAGCTGACAAGGGGCATCGTGTGCCTCATCACAGCAGGTCTGCCGGGTAGCACAGTGCCCACTTTACAGATGCAGAAACTGAGGCTTCCAGATGCGAGCAGCCCACCCCGACCACACTGCTCACCCTGCAGGGTCACAATGAGTGGGCTAACCATAGCAGGTGAGCCCGACTCAGGCTGAGCCCTGTACCCCAGTCCCAGGCCTCCCCCACCAGCTGCCCTCCAGGCCACACACCAGCCATCCCCTCCGGTCTGAGCTCCGTCCCACCCCTTCTGTCCCCTGGTACCTGCAGGCCTCGTCCTGAAGGCCAAGGGCTGACTCCAGGGACTCCAAGCCTTGTGACTGCCTAGGTGGGCCCTGACCCGCACTTGAAATTCATACAAGGTGCCCGGAGTAAGTGTCTCAAGGCAAATCCATTGCTGGTTTTGCCTAAGGATCAGCACGGAGGCCTCCTGGGGCAGAGAGAGGAGGGGGGCTGTCAGAGTGGAGGGGGCCCCACAGCCCACCTCACCTCCCATGGCAGGGGCTGGCTGGGAGGCTGAGTGGGCGACACCTGCATTCCTCCCTGCCAGCTCCTCCCCTGCCACTCTCCCCCCGCATCCCTGACTACTCAGCCCCAAACCCCAAGGGCATCCTGAACCCCTCCCTCTCACTCACCATCCATGCACAGAGCTGCACGGACAGGTGGCTTCCCAGGGCCTCTGAAATCTCAGAGGATAGTCACCTGCTTCTTGGCCATGTAAACTCTAGCCCTGACATCTGCCACCAGCTGGAAGCCCTGGGCTGTCGGGGGGCACATAGGGGGCGAAGAGGCCAGAGCAGGCAGGACAGGGGAGCAGCAGGGGCCGCCTGGGGACTACCGTGGCTTTGCTGACATGAAGCCTGGACAGGGTGACCAGGACTGGAGGGAGGAGTCGGGGCAGGTGGGGACCAGGCCATGCACTCACCTCCCAGCTGTGGCCTGGGGACCTTGTCCGGGCCTCAAACTCCAGGTAACTTTCAATGTAATGGGAGGACTGCGGGACTTTCCAGGTTATGTTGCATTTGTGGGTCCCGACATGGGTGATTTGGAGCAAGTCGGGGGCCATCAGGCGAACTGGAGGTGAGAGAGAGGAAGAGACAGTGACCTCAGGGGATGCTGGGTCACCATGGCATGCCAAGAGGATAAAGTTCAGACATGCCCCCATCTCTACCTTTGCACCTGCTCCTTTGCTCCTTCTCCCTCCTGGGCACCCTCCTCACCCCCAGAGATCCTCACCTCCTTGGAGAAGACTTCTTCTACCCCCTAACCTGTTTTATTTTCCTGCCTAGCACTTAACCCCACCTGATACATCAAGTATTTATTTGGGGTTCTTTGTTCATTTTCCATCTCCCCCAGCAGACCATGTGCTCACTGAGGGCAGGGAATGTGTTTTCTGATGTATTCTTGGTGCCTGGAGCATTACCTGATTAAGACACCTGATAATCTGCTGTATGAAAACAAATGAAGGCCTCTGTTCTCTGCCTCCAGAATGGATCTGAGAGCTTTACAGGAATCATTTCATGTCATTTAATTGAATCTCAGGAACCTTATAGGATTATAAGATTTAATAATTCTGAAGTTAAACTGACCTAAGTTTTTCTAAGCCTGGGACTCTTGAACTACACGAATAACACTGAGTGAATGTCTGTTGAGCATGTGTTAAGCAGTCACAGACTCACAGACTCCTTATGGCAACCCGGGGTCACAGACTCCTTATGGCAACCCAGGGTCCAGCCGATAACTGATTCTCCCCATTCTTGATGGGCAAACTGAGGCTCAGACGTGTGAAATGATATTCTGGGCAGACCTCATTCTGTTAAGGCAAGGCTGCATTGAGCACCCTGTCTAGATCTCGCCCTTTCTCCCTTATATGGTCTGGGGATGGGACTGGGCATGCGGTCATTCAAAAACCTTCCCAGAGCACTGCCCAGATAAGGCTTGGTGCTGGGTACTTGGAGTAGAGACTTAGGGAAGATAGACATTCTGCCCTCAGGGAGCTCACAGCCCAGTGAGGGAGACAGTCCCCAAATCAGGCATTAAGGAACCTGAAAAAACATAAACACCCTGAAAGAGGAGGTACGAAGGGCTGGGAGAGTCTGGGAAGGCTTCCTGGTGGAGGTGACTCTTCACTGAGCCTTGAATGGTGAGGGGGAACTTTTCTGATGGGAAGAGCTTTCTGGGCTGTGGCACCCACAAATGCAAAGGCTCAGAGGCATGAATGGGCAAGTTGAATTCAGAGAGCTGGCCTTTGGTTGTGACAGGAATACAGGCCAGGAGAGGAGCAGTGCTCGATTGGGAAGCCCGGGCCAGATGCTGAGTATCGGGGGAAGGAGCCAGAACTACAGCCTGAGGGCAGTGGGCAGTGAGAGGTCACACGTGGGTATGGAAAGAGACTGAATCAGGGAGGGTCCCAGAGGGAAAAACAGGACGGGGTTCCCAGCCCGCCCCAGTCCCCCTACCCTTCCCAATTCATCACTCACGGTTCTCAAAGGGCTTGAAGTCCTGGGTCATCAGTGTCCTCCACCTCCCCCCTTCGTGGCATATCACGCTCATTTTGACAATGTCAGCCGCAGTCAGACTCTGAGCCTGCAAGAGAAGGACATGGTAGGGATGGGGCGCGGGTGGTGGGGACGATAGGAGAGAGGGAAGACCAAGACCACAACAAAAGTGGGGCCCCTCCATGAGCCCCTCCGGCTAAGGCTGGGGTCGGCAGGCTTTTTCCGTGAGGGTACAGAAAGTAAATATTTCTAGCTTTGCAGATCAAACGGTCTCAGTCGCAACTACTCAATTCTGTTGCTGGCCTGTGAAAACCAACCAGAGACACCATAGGAGAATGGCATGGCCGTGTACCAATAAAACTTTATTTACAAAAACAGGCAGCAAGCAGAGTTTGATCCGTGATCTAAAGTGAAGTGAGCTGCCTTGAAAGGGAGGGAGTTCCCCATCCCAAGAGGCATGCAAACAGGATGAGCCCCCAAAAGAAGGCAGGTCTGGAACTGTACCTGTGTAACAGTTCGGAGTGTGAAAGCCTACCTCTCCCCACTCCCACACCCTGGCTTTTGGGGAAGGAAATGGGCACGCGGCAAGCCTCTCCCATTGGCAAGCACTATTCGGGCGCCTTAGGCATTTCTCTGGCTGATTGTCAGAGCAAACCATCCTCATAATGCAGGTGAGTGGCCCAAAGTCATGCATTGGTCAGCAGGGGACTCTGGATTCAAAACCAGGCCTCTGTAACCACTGTCCCCACAGAGACGCAGCCCTAGGCTGTGACACCTGACCGAGGGCTGCGGCTTACGGCAGCCTCCTCCCTGTGCAGAGGAGCGCCTTGTGGGAGGAAAGTCTGATGCATGTCCCCTCCAGAGCTGTGCTCTGGGTTCTGAGGTGGTGTTTTCAGGTCCAGGACCCAGGACACAGTCCCTCTGACCTACCTGCCACAGGGCCCACCATGAGCGAAACTTGAACCTGATCGTATGAGTCCCCAGAGCTGGGAACAATTCCTCCCTCTCCAACCCAAGGACGCTGCCCCTTGCTGTGTCTGGCTGTTGTAGGGGCCTGATGTTTCCAGATAATGATAGTAGTATCGTCATTATTACTATGATCATAGTCCTTACAAAGATGCCAGGAATATATTGTGTTGGGTTCATCCTCTGTCCACGCACTCTTCTGCGTGCTGGACACACATTCTCTCATTTAACTCAACACCCTGTGAGACAAGCCCTATGTCTCTTCTCGTCCTGCAGCCAAGAATGCTGAAGCTCAGAGAGGCTAGGGCCTCGCCTGAGGTCACACAGCGACGAAAAGGTGGGGCCAGGATCCGAAGGCAGACCCTCTGCAGAGCTCACGGGGACAGGCATGGCCGTCTGACTCCAGACGTGTGAGCCTTTCTCCACATTCTCCTGCCCCTTAAGAATGGGTATGACCCAATGACGGCTGGAAGAGGTGGTCTGGGCAACCCTAGTGCCCGCTGCTGTCAAGGACGGCGTGACCAACAGTAATTTGATGCCCATGCATGGATGTGGCCACATGCCCATCTAGAAGGTTCAGTCCCAGCTCTGCCCCTCACTGGCAGGGCCTCTCTGAGCCTCAGGTTTCCTCTCTGGTAAGAAAGGGGCAGTGCTGGAGCCCACCCACAAAGTCCCCAGGATCCACGGACTGCAAAGTCAAGTGCATGCTCTGCTCTGGGCATGGTGTTTAGTGCTTTAACCCCCAGAACAGCTCTACGAGGCAGGTGCCGTCATTCTTGCCACTTCGAGAAGGGAAGCCTAGGACGCAGCAGTTGCCTGATGTCACCCAGTGGGTGTTACAGTGGAGCCGGGACCAGGCACCCAAACCTTCAGCTCCAGGATCCACACTCTGAAGCTCATGCTGCCTTGCACTTGCCAAGACCTTGGAAGACTCAGAGGGGGTGTTGTTACGGGTGGGTACCCCTTCCCCCACCTGATAAAGAGTACAGAAGTGTCGCGGGACCCACAAAGCATGAGGAGAAGAGTGGAGCAGAGGCAGAATGACCGAGCCCCTCGGACCACAGATCTCTCAAGCCTCAGTCAGCCCTGAGTTCTGGCCTTTGGACGCTGCCCTGCTTCCTTCTGCCTCTCTTGCCCTGGGGCAGCCTGCTGTGCCACCGGCTGTAGCCAAAGCCACTGGGCTCTCTGAGCCCTGCTCTGCCCCTGGAAGCTCCCCGCCCCGCACCTGCCCTCCCCTGGGCTCTCTTCCCGGCTCTCAGTACTCACATCTGGGGATCCAAGAATCAGGTGACAGACCCAGAACGCCGGGCTCAGTGGGAGCAGCTCGCAGGACCTGTTCCAAGGCCTTTCAAGGCAAAAGAACCTCCTTAGGACAAAAGGAGGGACCCCCAGAGCCGGCCCTCGGGATGGCCCCACCCTTGCAGCAAGGCCAGTCTGTGCAGGCTCTATGCCAACCTCAGCAGAGACCCCCATCCCCCCACCTGCTCCCCCTCCCATCACGAGCACCTCTTCCTGTCCTCCCCAGCCTGGCCTCACAGTAGCCACAGTGATCTTCTAGAATCAAACAGTGCAGGACACGTCGGCCTCCCCACCTAAAGCCCTCCAGAGTCTTCCCTCAGGGCTGGACTTGCAACCCTGTGGAATCGCCACCCACCCAAGACCACGGCCAAACCAAAAGCTGTTGTCATCAAGATGCATGGATCACGGATCACAGCAGCCCCTTCCCTGACTCCCTCCCAGCCCCCAGAATCCCAACCATGCCCAGGCACCTGTTTCCAGAGCTGCCCTAGATGTCTCTCAGAAAGCTTAGGGAGCCCCCTTTCTTCCCCCGCCCCTTGCTTCTGAAGTCGACTTTAGTCTTGACCCATCAGTCTCACAGCCCAGTGTCCCCAAACTACCCTGTCTAGCTCATCTCCGGCCCCTCCCCTGCAGCCTGGACCCCCACTCCTCACTCCCGCCCTGGTTCCAGGAGTCTAAATATCCAGCCCCTTTGTTTTCCAGACTTCAGGGACACCAAGAGTCTGTGGGTCCTATCAATCCAGATTCTCAAAGTGCAACATCTTGGAGTCCGCCAGGAAGGCGTCCCAAGATTCTAAGATTATAGGAACCACCCCCCCACCCCGCACACCAATCCCGAGATGCTGCCTTCTTGCTGGTCAACCCCACACTCACCGTCTATCTGGCCAAGCATGGATCTTGCAGGACGAGGCCTGTGGGTCCCCATCCCAGCTCCAGGCACAGGAGATGTTGGCTTTTGAGTTGTAGAAGCATGTGAGCTTGGGGGTGTCTGCTAACAAGATGAGGCATGAGTGGCTGGCCGCAGAAGGGCCAAGGGAGAAGGTGGATGCCTGATCTCTGGTCCCGTTGCCCTTGCCTCCCTCCTGCCCCTGCTGAAGGGCCTCTGCCTAGAAGCAGGGCTCCTGAAAGGGGTTCTACAAGGGTTGGCCGCCTTCCCAAGAGAAAGAACAGCTATCCAGATGCCAGGATCCTCACCATCTGCCGCTGTGAATCCCTGAGGGATGGCCAGGGCCAGGAGGAAGACAAGGAGGGACAGATAGCAGGACAGAGCCGGCGCTGCCATCACATCCACGGGTGGGAGCTGGGGAAAAGAGCCCTGGGGGAAAGAAAGGGGGAGAAAGCACAAGTGAACACCTGCTCCAGGTCCCTGGTCGCTGTGAGGCGGGCTGAGCCCTGTCCATCTCAGGGTGGCCCATTCCACTTTCTACCAAGCCAATACCATCCAGTCTCAGGGCCTTTGCACCTGCTGGTCCCTCGGCCCCACACATGCTCCCTTCCTTTGGGGATTCTGGGAACCATACATTGTCAGGGCTCAGAGGGCTCTCTGAGAGAGCCCATGCCCTTGTTCAAAAGCTGGGGAAACTGAGGCCCAGAAAAAGGAAAGATTCACTCGGGTCCACACAGGGAGACCAGCACAGAGCTGGGATTACAGGTCACCTCTTCCCTTCCCTGCTGCCCCCTTAGTCACACCTAAAACCATCATCAGGAGGCTCCTAGAAGCCAGGCTGTGTTCCACCCTTTAAATGAAGCAGCAAAAACTCTACTGGAGATCCTCTCATTATCTGCATTTTCAGATGGGGAAACTGAGGCACGAGGACGTAAAATAAACTGCCCAAGATCACAGAGCTGATCAGAGGCAGGTGTGGAAACCAAGTCAGGGCAGACCCAGAGCCCAGACAGGGGCTCCTATAGCTTCTCTGACTCTGTCTCCCCCCACCACTGAGACGGGCGACATACTCGATACTCACGGACTATGTCACAGCAGTACTTGGGGGTGTACTGAGCACTCCCACTGTGCCCAGCAATTTACGTACACTAGATCATCTTCTATCCCCAGAGGCTTGGGGCTGGGTGCTTGTGTTATCCCCTTACACAGATGAAGAAACTAAGGCTCCGAGTCCTTCACCCGCCAAGGTCATATGTGCATAAGAGGCAGAGCTGGGATCTCATCCCCCCGCTCGTTCGCCCACAGGGCCTGTTCCCTCACATCCTTTGGCCCTGCCCAGACCCTGTCCCAGGCACTGGTCCCAGAGGTAAGGTCACCAGCCCTCCGCCCCTGGAGTTGAGGAGTCAGGGCCCAGCAAGGGCACAGGCCAACTGTCAGGTGTCTGGCTTGAGTTTGAAAAGGAGTCCCCAGCCCAGCATCCCCACAGGATGGGGAGCTCCCCAGTGGGGATAGGGGATGGGGGCTGGTTGCCTTTTTCCTTGGGAATCCCCCCACAGCACAGGGCACAGCGTTGAGACCCTCAAGGGGTCCAGTAAGCCCCCCTGTGCCCCCCTACTCACTCATTCACGGCCTGGGAGCATGGGTACTATCTGCCCCCTGGAGGGTGCCGCCCCTGGCCAGCACCAGCCGGCAAGGCAAGCCCATGCCCAAGGCAGGACCTGGTATAGAGCTTCAGGATGACAGGAGGAGAGTCGGGGCAAAGTCATACAAGATCACAGGAAGGTCAAGGCCAAACCACAGCCCCAGCCGCGGCGAGCCAGCGGAGCAGAAACACCATCTACAACGAGTTCCCCACCACTCATAGCAGAAAGGGCGCAGCGATGTACATCACGATTGCAAAGGGCACAGAGAGGGGAGTGTGGGCTGTTCCTGAGCCGGTCGGAGCAGGGAGGGCTCCAGGACGGCGCCAAGGCTGCACCCTCCGGCCAGGCAGGGAACTGAGGCTCAGGGAGGTTAAGGAACCTGCTCAAGGCCACGGGCCCAGCCTCAGGGAGAGCAAGCAGGACCTCTGAGTCCTAAGCCCCACGAGCCCTGGGTTCGCACGCACACCCACACTCCCTGCCCTTCATGGGGGCACAGCGACACTCACTGACTCATGAGGTCCCCACTGCAACCCTGGAAGGTGGCTGTCGTCACCCCCACCACCCCTGCGACAGATGCCAAGACTGAACTTCGCGCTGCCCCGGGCAGCTGGACTCAAAGCCAGTCATCTGATTTCAAGTGAGGAGATGACAATGGTGATGATGGTGACAGGGATGAGGACGGGAATGGTGACTAATACTCGACTCTCATTCTGTGCCCAGGTCCTTAGCACTCAGCAGATATCACCCCACTTAGTCCCTGCAGCAACCCTGGGAGTAGGTACCGTTATGACTCCTTTTCTCAGATGAGGAGGCTGAGGCCAGTAAGCCTCTCGCCCAGGCCAGAGTGGGGCCGAGCCGGGGGTTGAACTGGGTCAGTACTGCCTGATTTCCCGCCACCGCTGAGGCTGAAACTGTGGGCCATAGGGCGCTGGGGGCAGGAGGCGCGGGGGGAGGGCAGGGGGCGGTGGGGTGAGGACCAGAGGCAGGAGCTCCACAGCCAGACCACCAGCTGTGATGGGCACCATCTCGCCTCATCCTCCTGGCCACCGCCCCCCAACACACAAGGTGGTGGGCGGAGGGGCGGGGAGCTGGCCTCTTGCTGTTTAACTCCAGAAGCATCTCCCCAGCTGGGTTCGGAATCCAGGCTATAGGGCTAGGAGGGGGGACCCTCAGAAATGGCTCTGCCCCCCAGCCACCCCCCGCTGAGGTCTCCAAACACAGTCCAGGACAGGAGGCCTTGTCCCCCCAGGAGAAAGGCCAGCCCCAGAGATGGAATCCTATCCACTCTAGTGGTGCCTGGAGACACTACAGACCTGTCTGCTCACATGGCCAAGGGAGGGACAATCCGGACTCAAACCCGCCAGTCTGTGCCCCCCGCCCCCGCTGCTGCCCAGGGCCCCCAGAGAGGAGACAAGCCCACTTCATGGCTAGGTCTCAGAGGGGCCCCCTCCCTTCCCTCCCACCCCAGAGCCTCTTAAGGAGCACTTTACACGGGGATGCCTCCCCAACATGGTTCCCATTCCACAGCCGCCCGGAGGGAGCTCGCGTGTCTCCCTACCCCACATCCCAGTGTCCTCCATCTGGGGCTCAGCTGGCCTCCCCTCTCCCAGTCCTCCTGCCTCTTTCCTCACCCCTTCTGGGTTAGGACACCCCTTATCCCAGAGCAGCCCCCAGCTTCCCCAGGGATGGCCTGGGAAGGAGGGGTAGCCCGGAACTAGGGACCAGCTTTTTCTTCAAAGCCAAAACCCTGATCAGGACCTGCCTCATCTTGGAGGGATTTCGAGATAAGGTTGGGGGCCAGGAGGGCTGGGAGATGGAAGTTCCAGTGGAACCTCCTGGGGCATCTAGGAGATGAGAGCTGGAAGCTGTCCCATGACCTTCGCTTCCAGCCCCAAGCTGCAGGCAGGGCCGGGAGGGAGACCCCAGGTCGCTGGGAACCAGGCAGCGGCAGGGTGAGGGCAGAGTCACCTGGCTGAGACATGGGGCCGCAGTGTGCTCTCTCGGGATCTCTCCGCTGCTGGGTCCGCAGCCATCTCCCCCGGAGCCCGGCTCTGACTCCCTCCAACTCCGGCAGCCCAGGTAGCAGCTGGCTGAGGAGGCCGGCAAAGACCAAAACCCCAGGGCCAGCCCACTTCCTGTGCAGAGGATGGAGGGGGCAAGGCCTGGGGTGGGGACGGGGAGAGATCAGGCTGGTGAGAAACTCTGAAACTCCTGAAGCACCTAGGGGCCCGATAAAGATCTCCCTCCCCCGCTGGGGGGAGGTGGGACCGTGTGGGTGTCTTGGCAGCCGACACACTCACATATGCTCTCTCGCGCGCTCACACACGCACACGCATACATGCCCGGTCCCTCTCATATGGGTGCCTTGTGGCACGTAGGAGCCTGAGGGGTATAGCCCCTTCTTTTTCCCCCTCCACCACCCCAGCCCATCTCACAGGGGGCCACTTCAAGCCTCTGACACCTTCATCCAGTCACACACACACACACACACACACACAGCCACTAACAAGTCCTTTGAGGTGTCCCCAGTGATACTCACACCTATACCACCACCTCTCAGAGACCTCCCTTTTCACCCAGGCTTCCAGGGAGCCCGCTACTTAATTCAGCTTTCAGAGAAGACCCTGTTCCAGGACTTTGCAAACACTTTGCTGGCGTCTTACTAAGCATTCTAGAACCTTCCTTTTCAAGTCATGGCTCCTAAGCCTTTCCTCCCCATCCACCCCATGCTCAGGACTTTTTTCCAAATGATGAGAAACTGGGGGCCCCTTTTTAGAAAGGTGCACACCTGGTCAGGCGCAGCGTCCCAGGCCCAGGGGCCCGTGAAGTCCTATCCAGCATCCAGAAGCAGGAGCTCTGTGTTCTCTCTTTCTCCTGATTTTAATGACCCTGCTTCAGGGACACTTTCTGATAAGCAGTTCCATGGAAGCTGCCATCTGCATGGAAGGAAGAGCAGCATTGACAGCCTGAGAAGAGAGTCAGTAGGCTCCCTTCTGATTAGAAACAGAAGTAGGAGGCCAGCGTCCCTGAGAAGAGTGGGACCTTCTTCAGAGCCTGCCTGCAGAGTGACCCTCTCTTCCTGGGCATCAGTGTCCACCCGGCGGAAGGAGGCACGATGGTTCCGACCGTCCACCGCACAGAGAGGGCTCCCCAGCCCCTCCTCTCTCCCAGAGCAAGGCTTTCGTAGCAGGAGTGGCTCATCAGCACAACCACCACAAAGACGAAAAGAATAGCCAAGATGTATTAAGCCTAGAATATTTCTGGAAGCTTCTCAAGAAACCGGGAGCGTTGGTTCTCCCCGGAAGGAAAGCCAGGTCAGAAAGGGGGAGGTAGAAAGGATGTTTGTTACTGTAGACCCGTGTGTACCACCCGAACATATTTCCTGCCCCCAAATCAATGCATTCAGTTGAAACTTTTAAAAAACACATAAAGACAGGACGCCTGGGTGACTTAGTCATTAAGCGTCTGCCTTCGGCTCGGATCATGATCCCAGGGTCCTGGGATGGAGTCCCGCATCGGGCTCCCTGCTCATCAAGGAGCTCGCTTCTTCCTCTGCCTGCCGTTCTCCCTGCTTATGCTTGCTCTCTTGTTCTATCTCTCTGACAAATAAATAAGTGAAATCTTAAAAATACACACACACACACACACACACACATAAAGAAAAAATACATCCCCAGGCAAAGCCAGAAGTCAGAAGCCAGAAGTCACAGACCCAGGTTGCCAGCAGCTTTGCCCATGGAGATGACATGAGCCTGCCCTCCACGCCGGCCCCAACCAGTTCCCCTCCTCCAACCTTCTT